TTTAATTGTTATAAGACAAATTATAATTTATATACTGTATATAGATGCGATGTATAAACACATCGCAGTAGGCGATGTATATATTTATCCTTATTAGGACATCAAATATGTAGAAAATTTTTGATATATTCCGACCTAAAGTTTTAGATCGAAGGTTCAGAATTTGTTTGACATAAAGGCATCAGTATTTCTACTTATCGCTTATCGGTTATTTATTAGGGAATTGCTACCGGCGCAGCAAAACACGTGACATAATTCCTAATTCTGCTACATCCAAACACTAACCTTAAATATAGTACCAGCCATGCTGTGTCGTTAAGGTTAGTCCTGATCACTTGCTGTGTCGATAAGCACGTTTTGCTGTATCGGTAGCAATTCCCTATTTATTATTTACACAAGATATATACGGTAGCATAATTTATTGATATGTCGGATTCAGCAATTCATATTTTAAAATAACACACATAGAATTATCCGAAATATCGCACAAGTAATTTCGCACAAATTAATATATCTTTTAAATTCATTGCTTTTGACTTCTCATGCACATGGGCACGCCCTTTCTAAATCATGTGACTTACATATAGCTTGCAAGTTTGCACTCGTATGTTAGTTTAGTATCTACATTTTTGTTTTTACCTATCCTTATTAACTAATCAAAGTACATTTTATATATCATATAACAAAGACCTACCCTAAGGGCATGCCTTGTATCCCTATGCCCAGACCTACAAGAACTCGTAATTTATTTATAGATCTAAATTATTAGGCAGAAGTATTTACTAAATTACGCATATACAGGGTTTAAAATTGACTTGCACATACATGCACAGTGCATGCAAATTTTTCAATGTGCAAGAAAAAATGATTCTGTGCGTGGAAATTTTTATAGTAAAATTAAAATTTTACACTTTTGTTACACAAAATTTTCAATTTGTGCAAGTAAAATTTTTTCGGAATTTTAAACACTGCGCGTATATACTGAAATCTAATTATAGAATGATTTTGCTTTGTAAATAATCTACATGTTTTCTTAGATACAGTAAATATTCAGATCATTTGGATTATTTATACATGAACATTCTATCTTAGTTGCTATCTACGTTTAGATTTCTTTGGTGAAATGATCACCGGATTAAGTTCGTCGCCATCATCTGATTCATCTGCATTTTCTATATATGAAACAATAGCTTCGGCACTTGAAGAAATCATCTCCTAACGATATTCAAGGATGTTAATTGTAGAGTTTATATCTGCTAACATATACCAAATGTATATATAGTTAAATATTTACACGCATTTTCCATAGATTCGATAAAAATTTTGGTAAAGTTCTAAATGCAAGAAATGTAATTGTTGGACATTTGAAAACAAACTCTTGCTTGAAGTAATATATTCCAGAAAAAGGTAGTGATAAGCTATAAACATAAAAAAAATTACCTATATATAACAAGACATGTAAGCATAAAATTACAATATCAATTCATCTCAATCTAATTAATAAAACTTACTGAAAACTTGTATCCCGTAAACTTTTATTTTTCGAAATTGTTGAAAATCTCCACGATAATTTATCCTAATAAAATTTAGAATAATTTTCAAGAATTTTGCAATTTTGTTACGGTCGCCGATGTAGTGGCTATGATCAGGATTTGTTGGAGATCCTGAAACTTCTACAACTAAAAACTCTAGGTTTACATCTAACAGCTTCATAATAGCATCAATTTTATTTCCAGAACTTCGTCGGTCATTATCTTGTTGTAAGTTATTGAATAAAATTGCTGAACACCGTAATGATTTTTCACCCCTATTATACAATATGATAAAATGAGTGAAAACTAACAAACAACATGCATTAACCAGGCAAAATATATATGCTGAAAATCTTTGAATAAAGGTTTAAAAATCGGATATATAAAAGTTATTACATAACTATATTCGGTTTGGTCTTCAATGAAAGCATTTTTGCTATTTTGAAATTAATCACGGCTATGAAAGTAATAGAATTAAATATTAACACATCTTGATAATGGCAAAAACATCAACAAAACTGCATACAAAGTCTTTGCAATTCTCAGAATTCTTCTTTTCCATCTGATATTATTATCGCCGGTTCTCAAACTAGTGCATTCTGACTTTAATGCCTTACATAATTTATCATATGAATTCTATTTATAAAAAATATTGTTATATAAATTTATATTCAATATTTCAAATAAACCTATATTCAATTAAAGGTGCTAACATAATGTCATAATTAGTTACGACCTATTTTATTTTTAGAGATAATTAGGTTATGACCTAATTACGACAATATGTCTGCACCTCTATATTTAATATTTCAAATAGCATCTACTTACCACATTCTTCAAACCATTTTTTGTATAAGCTTTTACTTCGACTCTGCCATCCTTCGTTTTTTCAACTTTATTCCTCATATTGCTTGGCTTCGCAGTCGTTGATAACACGGTTTCTATTGCATTAATCATCTTGTCCCAAATTTCTTTGAAGAGATTGATGATGATGATTCAATGGTATCAATTATATTATAATGGAGTAAACTGCAAAATGATGCTATAATAAGTATAAGAAAAAAACCGTTGAGGTGCAGTCAAAAATTTCCGGAAATGGCCAGCATTATGCAGGATTATGCAGATTACGAAAATCATCCCGGAAAACAAAAAAAAATAGAAAACGGCCGTCTAAATCTATTTTAGTGCACTAAAAACAGCCTATTTCTAATGCTAATTAGATAAATAATTCTGACCAATATCCGAAAATTTGTACTGCATCCTGATGCTGTTGAGAAAATTTATTAAAAGCCATACTCTTGTTTGTGAATTTCCGAAATATATTTGGATTTTTTACGCCACTACATTATTATTGATCATATACATATGTTTTCTATATCAAGGTTATTACTATATACACTCTCTTGATCAAAGTTATTGATCAAAGTTATTGAAGTCATCCTCTTGATCAAAGTTATTGAAGTCATCCTCTTGATCAAAATTATTGAGGTTATCCTCTTGATCAAAATTATTGAGGTTATCCTCTTGATTAAAGTTATTGAGATTTTCCTCTTCATTATCGTTAAACTTATATCAATAAAAATAATATACATTAAATTTTGTTATAATAAAGTCATATTTAAAAAAAACAAAATAAAACTATAATCAAAGTTACACACTTTTTCCGTTAATATCTCAGATTTTTTCTTTGATACTATTGGTACTAATGGTGGTAATATATTAGATTTATATAAAGTAACCTAAACAAAATTAATTATTATTTGTTTTATATTGTTTTATATGATAATCAAGAAGTAATATCACATACGGGAAAGTAATCCTCAATCTTTGTTCTTTTTTTGGGAGGACTTTGTTTGATTTGCTCGTTCTAAAATATTAATAAATCAGATCCAGCTCTAAACTTGCTATATAAAAATAAAAAAAATTACTTTTTCATGCTCATTATTATTTTTTCTTTTGGATTCTTCAGATAAATTAAAAGTTCCACCGTTAATGCTTCCTAAAGTTCCTACTAAAGGGTTTTCTGTAAATATTGGATTGTGAAGATGAATCGAAGGTCCACTAATAGAATTATTCTCTTGTTCTTGTTCATGCTCATTCTTCCATTTTCTTGCTAAATGATAGTCGGATCGAGGATCCTAAAAAAAAACATCGATAAATTAGTATTATTCTTAACTAGCACGTTCTAATTTCTATCCTATTTTCTCTATTTTCTATCCCACCAGGTCGGCGTAGAGGCTTGACGTCAGACAAAGCATAGAGGTTGTCTGCGCCCTGGTGGGGCCAGTGTAAGGTCGACGTAGAGGCTTGAATGGTAGGAGAGCATTGAAGGCCCTACCACGCCCCCAAATTAAAGTCAATAAGAAAGATCTTATACACGCCTTTTTATATTGATCATACAGGAATTTTGCTCGTTTACATCTTTCATCATTATTTCCTGTAGCAATTATATTTTCAAGAGACGTGAGGTAACATCCTATTTTATCTCTAAACAATTCTAATTCGCATTCATTAAGAAAGTCCGTGATATTCCAGTCACAAGGTTCACGATTGAAATAGTTATGTACCGACATGGGCTTAGGATATTTCTCCTTATCTGAGGACCAAGTTAAAAAACAAAAGTCAGATTTTTTGAGTTTATCGCAATTTTATTTATTTTTCGGACTGCATAAACCTGTTTTTGATCATAAGTAAGGGGTCGTCTAAAGCCAGGTGTGTTCACGTGACCAACAGCCAATCAAATAATAAATATTGATTTACCCGGATCAGCCCGACGAGACAAAAACAAAGAAAAAAAGTGAAAAACACAAAAAATAAAGAAAATGAGT